TGTGCCCAGGGTTGCCTATGCCTGGCAGATGATAAATAATATTTATAATATCAACAGAAAAGGAAAAGAGATCGACGACCGAGATGACCTAACAGCTGATTGACTCGACAGGTGCGACGACCTTCTGTAATAAAAAGTGCGAATCGGTAAAAAACAATGAATTAGGGAAATCGCAAAATATACCCGGTGGACACGTAAACCATAATTATACGGTGGCTGAGGTAAGAGAGAGTTAACAATGTTGTTTTGCTACATCGCGCCCCCCCTCGTACGTGAATTCCGGACCAAACGGAAATTCAGGTAGGTAAGTGATATTTTTTTATATGGGTGGCATGAAACATCCCTCGTTCCACGTCACTGTCGATATGGCACAAGACGTACACGTCCCTACTTAATAATTTTTTTACGCGATAGGGTCCCTCGAACAACAATAACATTTTTTTTTGTTTCAGCGCGAAGGGCAGACGAAAGATTATTGGCTTTTGAAAGGACCAGATCGCCGGGCTGAAAATGTTGGTACACCCGACCTGGGTGTGATATCGCTCGACGCTCTGCTCGCGATTTGAAAGTGGCTTCTGCCAAGATGAGTTCATCAGCATGACTAATTTCGTAGTCCGCGGGAGAGGCACAATGTTCAGGTAACAACTTCGTTCTACTCGTCCCAAATTGCAGTTCATTTGCGGAAAATCCGGTAGATTCGTGCATTACCGAATTCATGATTTCGGCAAAGTGTTGGATATCACCTGCCCATTTGGAATGTTTATCATGGCAGTAGGTTCGCAGAATCCTACCAATTTCCCTCATGCAACGTTCGGAAGGGTTCGCGGCGGCATGTCTGACGGAAATATATACTAAACGGACCCCTAAGGTCTGGAAGGTGTCCCTCCAAAGTCGGGAGGTAAACTGGGTCGCATTATCGTGCAAGATTCGCTTAGGCACGCCATGAGTGGGGAAATATTGTTGGGTGATCCTGTTTACCATTGCTCGCGAGGTAATTTTCTTCAACGGATACAGGGTGATGTGTTTCGTAAAGACATTCAGTACGACGAAAATGTAGGACACACCCCCCCGGCCTTTTATCAATGGGCCGAGAACGTCAACGGCTAATAAATCGTCCTTTCCAGTAGGGATGATCTGTAATTGAGCAGGATGAGGTAATTGCGATATTTTCGCCTTCTGGCAAATGTCACAGCAGCGAATATATTTCTTGATGGTACGCTGCATGTTTGGGAAATAAACTTCATCCCTTAAGGCCACCCAAGTTTTATATATACCATAGTGCCCCAAAGTTACATGATAGTTTAAAATGAAGTCCTGAACCAAGTTCTGGGGAACACATAACAGGAGTTTATTTTCATTTTCACCCCTTTTGAAAAGAAGTTCATTGTGAAGTAAAAATGTTTGACTAATTTTCTCATCTGAACGCAGTTTATTTTTTATTTCACATAATTTTTCGTCGCTGGCTTGATACTCTCTTATTTTTTTCAAGTCCTCAAGAAATGGTTGAGGCAAACGGAGCAAAGCTATTTGGAAACACTTGTCTGCTGGCGTGGGAAGCCTTACGCAAGCATACCGAGAAAGGGCGTCGGCTATGAGGTTCTCGCGGCCTTTACGATGCACGAATTTGATCTGATATTCCTGTAAGGCTAATGCCCAACGTGTTATTCGCGGGGATAACAAACGGCAGGAATTCAAATATGTCAGAGTCTTGCTGTCGGTAACCACAGTAAATTCCTTTCCCAAAAGGTAAGTTCGCCAACGTTGGATTGCCCAAAGGGCGGCTAGGACCTCTGTAACATGTGATTTTCCTTTTTTACCTTTATTATATTGGTTTGTTATTAAGTTAACCAAGAGTAACACCCAGTATATTATGATGATGTAAGATACTCAATAGATTATGTGACTGCAACACTTTACATTTTGTTATGGCAGGTGGATTGAATATCCTGTTGGCGTTGGACCTCTTGTAGGCTGAACTTGAAGATTCCTTTGTCTTCCTGGTGTGACTGTCTATTAGTTTCAGGGTTGTATTTTTCAGGTGTCCATAGCAGTGGTGTTGATCTGTCCTTCTTCCTAGCTGTAATGATAAATGATTTACATTTCCAGTTGCTGTTGACTGATTGAATGGATAAAAGTTGAAATGCACAGTTTGACAAACCTGTTGGAAAATGATATGTCCTTGCTGTTTTCAATTTAATTATGGATCCACAGGAAGTTATATTTGAAGTAGTTGTAATTGTTTATATTCGTATTTCAGTTTCAGTCTGACAGTTTAATTGGTTATGTGGATTGTTAGGTTATTTCGCTTCGTCCATAGCCTTTGTGAATCTATAACCTTCTTCTTTTATTTTCGGCCTGCTGGCAACATTTTTGGTTGGACCAATGTTACTATAGTTCTGTGTCAGACCTAACTTCACAATTCTTTAAAAACGGGCAAAAGCCCATTAGAACATTTTCCTTAAATAATCTAGGTATTTCAATATTCTCTGTTGGTAATATTTATCAACTAGTCAAGATTCCAACTGTACTTGCGCAGTGAATCATTTCTAATTTGAAACATGTTTTTATAAACGGTTTTGTTTTCTGAGTGCACAGGAAACTCTTGAAATTTCTTGATTTCCTTCTTCTCTACCGAGAGTAGGCAAGATGGGCACGAATTTTGCCATTTTTCATCCAACCTTTGTGGGGTTTGATACCCTTATTTTCGGCCATTCCAGACGGAAGGTGAGCATTTTTAGAGTCCATAAACCGATTCACTGTTTTCAATTTGGTATATTTCCAACAGATTTATTGGCCTGTCCATGGTGGATGTCCTGGTGGGACGCCATCATCGCTTTCTTCAACTATCTAGCCTGTAGCTAGTAGCCTCCGGCTAAATCTGGAATTTTCCTCTTGATCCCATCCTGAGCCATCCATGATGCCACAAGGTGACTGGAAAGTCTCAACTTCATTTTTGGGGCTATTCTCTTGATCCCACCTTGTCGTGCCGTCCATGATGTCGAAGGGTGACTAGGAAGTCCAGGAAACCTTTTTTTTTAACTGCACCAGCTAGAGTTTGGAGTTGGAGTTGGAGTTGGAGTTCACTGGCAGGGAAGGACAGAGCAGCACCACATGCTTCGCAGACACTAAGGTCAGATCAATTTTGATTATACTTTTGTTCCTGATGATCCAGTAGTGCGCAGCACCAAGTTCAACCACTATTCAAGTCTTACTACTCATAACAACAGTTTTTAATTTTATATTTGAAATACCACTTAACTAAATCATAATGGGAGTCCAGTCATTCTGTGAACCAGAAATATAGGCCTATATAGATGGGGAATACATTGAGATATCTTCATTTTTTTGTTCTGCTTAGGCATTTAACTTATACAACACTGAGGAAGTGATTTAATAATTTTTCTGCACAGTAAGGTGTTACTGAAGGTATAATTGAAATTGTGTGTCACATGAACCTGCTTCAAACATCTAAAGAATTATATTTCTCTGGTACAGTCATTTGGTGTTTCATTAGATTTTCAAATTCTATCCTCAATATTAAATTTTCTTAGTTTTCCTACTACTGAAAACTGAGTGGCGCCTGGCAAAAGGTCCCTAAAAATACATAACTTCTTGAATCCACAGCCTGCTCCCAAACAACAGAGCTGCCGTGCCTATAACATAACTACACACTAGTCTTGCAATTTACTATTTATTATACAACATCCATAAAATAGCAAGAAAGCGTTATAGATAATTGGCGCCCAACGTGGGGCCCGAAATTTTATGTTATGAGTAGTAAATATTTGAAATACACAATTTGGTATAATTTTTCATCTACAGGGAGAGCAAAATTTTTAATAGTCTAGTCATCTTAACTTGGAAGAGCTTTGGGATTGGTGTTTTGCTTATTTTAGAGGTTTTAAGTTCCAAAGGAGGTTCAATTTTTGCGACTGGAGTAAATTGCATTTATTTGGTGTACTGAGTGTTTCTTTTCAAGTACTAATATTTTGAGTGGCGGAATTGGAGAATTGCATGGTGCATTTGCTCCCTAGGGACTTCCCTGGTGCATTATAAGTAACCTTAGCTGGTTAGAG